TGCCATAAACACCCATTCATTATGGTACTCGTACGATGCCCTTACCGCTTCTTTTTCAGCAGAATGTTAAAAAATGTGTTATCCGAAATATATTCCCATTGCTACCTGTGTACAATAGTTTTCTTATCTCAGTAATAAAGCATGAGGTCCACGACGGAAGAATGTCTATGGGTCTTCCTGGACTATGTAAAATATTTTTTTAGAGAAAAATATTCATTTCATCATAGGAATCACAGCCTAGGGCCGCTTTCCAGTCGTCCTTATCATATGATGATCATACAATGGTACAAATCAAAGATAAATGTATGAAATTTCGCATTTGATATTAGGCAAATGTCACACGCTATCGACTCGGAAGCTAGTATGTCCAAAATGAAAATTACATTCAAGCTTGCTTAATAGTGAAAACCGCAAATTGACCGCTTATTCGATTGGACGATAAATTGTCGACTGAGACCGACGTTAATCACAAGAAGTCATCTCTGGAAAATAGCGACGATTTTATTTGGTTGAAGCAATTCATAAAGCCTTACATCCTCCTCAACGCCCCATCATGCATGTTCAGCTGCAGTTAACAGTATTAATTGAATAACGTAACGCATTCATTGTTTATTATTCGCCATGATCCTGTCGCACTATCACTCCCCCTCGAGTTGAGAAGAAAAAATCGCGGTCCCCACCGCTTTAGCAATTCTTTTTATGTTATTCTGACAAATCTGGCAAACCTTTGTTACTTAGGTATGTTCTGGTATAAAATTTTAATCATCTTGCAGTGCAGTATATATAAATTATATATCTATGCACCATAATGATGTCAACAAGTTTGTGGTCTAACACATGCACGGCACCACAGCTGACTTTATTGGAGCTTATACGACTTTATTGGATGTTCGAAGACCACCCATAAATTTATTTCTTCGACCGACACGAGTCGCGATAACATCTTTCAAGCCATCTCGGATTTTGAACGAGGTTTTCCTCAGCAAAAAACGAGCTATTTAATCAACAAATGAAATTCCGAATAGTTCATGGGTTTAAAAAATACATAAGTAGCCCCGCTAAAATAACTGCACTTTGTAAAGTAATGAGTCAGAATGTCTTGCAATTTTAATGCATACTATTTGAAGATTGCTATTATTCTGCGATCATATGGATCTGCCACCAGTTTTGCATAAATATGTCAGATAGGAGACAGGAGGAGAGTATGATGTTATATAAACATTTATATGTATGTATATGTACATAGGTATATAGATGTACATGTTCATTGTATCCATTAGCCATGCGGAAAGGCTAACTCCATTTCCAATAATCAAGTTTAAATACAAGCCCTATTTCCTATAGAAAAGGGGACAAATTGCACTGACGCCGATCTTAGACGAAATTCTGCAATTGCTTAATGAAAGAAAAAGAAAATCGCTCATGTGACAATCATTTGGAAGCAATAATTGAAAGACCTGTTAATTCTGTGATCTATATATATATTTGTGTAGATGTTCTTGCGATTACTTGTGAGTTATCGGAGGAAATCATGGCATAATCAGCCAACCAAAAGATTCGTCTACTGGCGTGAACTCAGCTGTCTGTGCTTAGCCCAATTTTTTCTTTACTTCGTTGTAGAAGGTAACTAAAATAAAGACGTAAAGTTGTCTTCATTTTACCAAAGACACAAACCTCTAAAAAATGCGAACTATGTTGATTGGCTCGCTTCACTTCGATCTTAGTTTGCATCTTTGCAACTTTCAACGCAACGATAACGATTTATTTAAATGCGTATCGATTTTTATGAATCATAACATTGTTGTTATGTAAGTTTTACTAAATCGTTACACAAATATATAAATAAATCGCATAAACAAAAGGAAACTGTATCTATAACAGCAAACGTTCACTTCATTTGTATACAAATCCCCGAATTCTAGGCAATCGATGCAATTTTTGGTAAAAGGTTCGTTTATGAAAAACGAGTACCGCATAAAATTATTTCCGTTTACATTCACTTACATTAAATGAGTTTTTTTTTCCCCCTTTTATCTTTTGTTTATCGTACACTAAGTAAATGCTGAACGATTCATGCCAAAGATAATAGAACATGATATAGACAATCATTTATTGAAAACAGCAAAATAGTGTCATCACATCAATAAGTTTTCGTATGCTAACAAAGAAGACAAAAACAACAATTACAACAACAAAAAACAATAACAGCAAAAAGAAAGACTTAAAGACTTGACTTTTTCCCTTTGCTTGCCTGCATTTACATGTAAGCAGAGATTGTCTGCTTTATAGTCAGACAGGTTGATATTATAGGTAAAGTAAATAATTTTTGATTGTATACCGTGATCAATAAACCAAAATTATATATATACATTTTTTTTTTTTTTGTTAAAAATCAACATTTATGACAGACGCGCGACAAACATAACCACAATTTATGATGCGCTCACATCAAATGCTTGGAAAGGGGAAAAAAAATGAGCAGTGAAATATACGCGATTTTTATAATATCTTATCTGGGTTTCTGACCTTTTTTCTACCTAAACGTACAGGTATATATATCTTGTCTCCTAGCTTGCTAAGCTTCAAATTACGCGTCAGAAATCTGTGTTTACAAAAATCGGCCGGGAAATTATGGTTCGATTTACTTGGATCCCTACGGCTGTATGTATGCCGTTGACGCGATGAAAGTCATACAAAATCGCTATAGAAAGCTGTAATGTTGCGTTCGATCTATTGTTACTTGCAGACAAGCCTATAACAGATGGTAAAACCATTAAGATAGTTTTCATAACTTACAACATACAACAAAAGTAAACGTCAATATGAATAGTGTTCTTTAACCCTTTCGCTACCGGGGTCTGGTTGGGAAAACATCCATTTTCAGTCCAAGCATCTTTTCCTTTTTTAGGTCTAACTTTTTGGCCACAGTAGTATATGATATGAATTGAACTAGATTTCTTTGTTTAACAATACACAACGGGCTTCAAACATACATGCCTAAGTAAACTGCCCAAAAATGTCTGCCAGATATATGTGACGTTGAACTACTGTAAGTTTCGGGTGCAATCGAAAAAGTACTCAACAAATTATCAAAATAAAATAACATACACAAGCATCACACAGTAACATAAAACAAATAATAACTATCGTGAGCCAAGGCCCACTATTAAGCACCCTACACCGACCTACGATCATTCATATATCGCCTTTCTAGAATAACGGAGTATAACGAAATTGCTCCGAAAACCATTCGAAATATGTCAAAAATTACGACCTGTAGGTTGAACGCAAGGAAACAAGACGGACAGACAGACAAGTCCAGATCGATTTAGAAAATGATTCTGAAACGATTGATATAGTAAAAGGTGGGGCTATCTCCTTTTGGGTGCTGCACACATCTTCGTACCACGAGGAGCGTAGGGTACAAACACTGATAAACAATATGTCTATGCATACATTACTATAAGTGTAACGTATTAAAGTACACCCTACTGCACTATTGATCGAGCCAGATCGGGCCGCGGACTTCCTCAGCGGTATTTCATTATTCCAAAATCATTTTAACGCAACATAGATGCCACTATTGATGGAACCAAGGTCTTCTGCCTGAGATGCGGACATACTCAGCTGTATTTTATTATTCCGAAAGCCGTTTAATGAAATCTACATTCCAGCAAGATATATGTTATAAATGTCAGTACAGTTGCACTGGCTCGTAGGCAAACATGTCTTTATCAACTGGATTTTGGATCAATCTACCAAGTGGATTATGGAACTTCTAATACTTCCATGGTGATTACAAAAAACCATCCAAGCCAAGACAATGGCTGCCCAAGATTCACTCCAAAGTAAATCTTGATTTATTTACTTGTTATTCCCACCTTTCTTTTTGACTTAATCTGATTAACTTATGCACAAGTATATGTGCATGTTGCTATGACATTTCACTTTTCGTTCATAAGCGTGCTACAAGCCAGTAATATTCAGTTTGAATATAAAATATAAAAAAATTTCATCTTATACTGAAAGAAAAAACCTTTCCTGCTTTCTTACTAAAAGGTAAATAACGCTACTTTTTATATATTTTGAACTTTACTCATCATTGTTGTTTTATCCTTAAATACACAGATAAATAGAATTCGAAAAGAATTCTCTATTTTTTTCTCTTGCGAGAGACTCTAAAATAAAAGGTTAAGCCTTTTAATATGGGAAGTTTTAAAAAGATATGATTGAAAAATCGATTACAAAGTCGGATAACATTGCTCGACCGGATATTTGCTCTAAAATATATCATACTCCGCTGGAAAGATGCAACGAGAACACCTAGCTAGAAGCTTCACGGGGAATTTTCTGGAAAATATTCTACAAAGACATTTTGTGGTAAAATTTCATTAAAACGTTATGGAGAAGTGCTGCTGTGATATTTCGACGGGAAGTTGTTGGGGGAAGTCAATAAGTCCCATGCAGACGCTCTGCGGGCCAGTTTGGACGGGAAGTTGTTTGGGGAAGATTTTACGAGGACGTTTCACGGGAAATCAAGTCGACAAGTCCCATGCAGACCCTCTGCGGTGAAGTTTGGACGGGAAGTTCTACCGGAAACTCTATGGAATACGATTCACAGGCATGTTAGACTAGTAAGTTCCATGCGAAAGTTTTATCGAGAAAGTTTCCACCATGAAGTTTTGTCGGAAAACTTCACGGATTGTGAAGTACAAGATTGTATTTGTTGTTCTTTTTGCTGATCTAACGCAAACTGAGCACACTGTACAGTAACACTGTAGACACTTCTCCAATCCAGCAGAGAATGCTTGTCCAATTCACTTTCAAAGAATTTTGTCTTAATAACTAAATTGTTTGCTTTTTCATTGAAATTATAGAAATAAAAATTGATCTGAAAAATATATAAAATATTTTGGTTTATTTTCAAAAGATTAAATTTATTTAGAAATCATAACAAAAATCATACAAAAATTTGCTAAGGCAGATTATTATTAATAATACACATTTACGTATACGTATATATATATATAGATATATATATATATTAATATTTATTTATTTATTCACCCGTCATCATTTCCATAAATTCTGAAATGAAAAAAGAACTCATAAATTAATAATAAGCTTTGAAATAAACAAAATAAAGTTATTGTTAATTACAAAAACACTTTTTATAAACTAAACAAATGAAAATATTTTATATGCCTACATGTGAGGGCAACGAGGAGCGAAAGCAGTGAAAAAACCTTTACCAAATATTGCTGTGTAACAGATGGCGGAAAATGTGGCTCTCGTATTCATTGGCTACTTAATATTAGTCTTTCTAAGTTAGAGAAAAGAAAAAGCTTAACTTTTGATCCAAAGACACTTCGCTTTATGGGTTAAGCAAGAAATCCGAAACCTGTCAGCAATACTGACTTATCTAAACCCTGCAATCTAAAACACTTTTCCTAAGCTGATTATTATTATTATTTGTTTGTATTTGTAGACTAATGAAATAAATTCTTAGACTAAAAAGAAACAAAGACACTGAACACTAGCAATACAGGCTATCGGCTCTACTTCCTAAGCTTAAAATCATTAGACGCATTTATGTAGCGACGGAAGTGTGGTTATATATGGATGCTTCACTTGCCCAATTGATTAACTCCATTTTTGGAATTTTATTAAATTTTAATATCAAAGCACTTCATTAGCTCCTAACTGTACAAATTTAAAACGAATTTCTCTAATAATAGGCATTAACATCACTAAATGACAAAATCGTTTTGGTCACTGAATAATAAATAATTTATTTATAATATTTTATGATTTTTTTCAACTTCTTGTTTTATGCAGTTAATCGATTTGGCAAATTAAGCATCCATATACCAGTTTTTGCTTTTCGTTTCATTACATTTGTTAAGCGATTTCTTTAAAGAAACTGCAATATTAATAGAGAATCTTGAAAAAATGTCCCCAACACTGGTTAATATTAGGTCATATCAATAATTTTTCACGGTTTTTCCACGCGATGATGTTGATGCCTATATATCGGACACCACTCACCTGAAATGTGCTTGAAAGTTGACATTTCAGCTAAGATTTTCAGTCCAAGATAGTTTTCTAATTCTTTGCTCGTATAAAAAGTTGTATTGACTTGAAAACGAGCGAAATATCTCAAGAAATACGTTATGTGATGCTTTTTTACTATAAAGCAAGTAAAAAGACCGCCAAAAAAAAATGCTGAGAATGCTGTGAGTGAACAAAGGACCCAAGAGTGGCTTGCTAAATTCCCTTCCGTAAATTTCAATGTCAAAGATGCAACTCGCAGTCAAGAGCAAGACCGACACGGAAGTTGTCACGAACTAGGAGGCATTAGACGTCAACCGCATGACAGGAGCAGGCTACAAAAAGAAGCTCGGAACCGCGAAAAAAAAAACCGCGACCCATTATGTTGGAAAAAGTTTTTCTCATAAATTGTTGAGATAAATTTATAGATATTTATGTGAAATTAGAAAACTAAAGTCGGCTTCGCCTAAAACAATATTCCTCCTATCTTCATCAGAAAAGAAACCTCTTTTGAAAAGGATTCCGAAAAGTGGCTCTTGTGCTGGGGGGGATCCCGAAGCGTAGTAGTGGAAATCGTTAATTCATTTATTAAATAACTACTCCATACTAATTGGCATCATAAAATACTAAAAAGTAGACTTTGTCACCTTTAAAAGGCTTACGATAACAATAATCTTACAGGAAGATATTCAAAGGACACGCACATGGTCCCATCCTTTCCCAATTTTCAAAGTTCATTCAATGTTTAAGTTCTTTCTTCTCACCACTTTCGAGAAATGTCAAAAGTGAAATCTTTCTCCAAAATATGGCGAAATATAAAGAGTGTTCGGTACACTAGTACGATGCAAAGTATATTCGTTAGCTTTTGTTTTCGCGTCTCGAAACATGCCAGTCTATCAAATTTTAACGGAATATGTCCATAAAGTACATTGGCACGCATGTTACAAGCAGACTGATGGATGAACAGATGCTTATATCGAGGAGAAAATGATTTTGATTTCATTGCGATAATAAAAAAAGCCGCATAAAATTAACATAATTTTAGTACATGTAAGTACACGTCTAGTACATGAAAGATATTAAATCATGCACAGCTAAGGCGGAACCTCATCTATTATTCCTTAGGTTCCACCAGCTTCGCTAACAAAAGAAGACAGTTTACTTCAACACTCTGTTCGTCATCTCTATACCTCTCTCTCTCTCTCTCTCTCTTTCTTTGTCAATGACAGACGCCTTGCATCTTCATGATAAATTATTGCAGACAATCCCGTTTGTTACTACTTTGGAAGAATAAAAAAGGAAGATGAAAATTCTCGAAAACAATAAAAACAAAACAACCGTTGGCCCTGGCACACCGTTACACTCTCTACACTACAACGCTTAATACACCTTTTCGTACAATTACCTTTGAAAATAACGCATCATATGGGACGTGACTCAAAAAAGTATTTCAATGCCAATCATTTTCAATAGCATTCGTGCTTCGATCAAAGAGCCTCGATTTATTAAATTTTATCAAAATATTTCAAAAATTACGGCTTCTAGGTTGAAAAGAAAAAGACGAGACTAGCAGACGGACAGACAAACTTATCGGTACAATGGAAGGCAGATCTGTCTCGCGTCTTTCCGGATGTTGTTCACAATTGCACAACCTTAATATACCCTTTCACCGAAAGTGGTGTAAATTAGGATCAGCAATAGTGTTTATACAGTGAAAAGTTATCTTGGAATTGCTAGCGTCTAAAGGGCGGTCTGGTTCCCTACTTTCTACTTCATAAGCACTTTCTTAAAGAAGTAGTGCATCTCCTTTCACACTTCCATATGATTTATTTTAAATCTTAATAAGATCGAAAAACACATATCATACATAGCAACCATAGCGAACAATATCCGCATATTCAATGTCATCTACTATATATAATATGTACGTGTGTTGATAAGTAAACATTGGCTTGTGTTCAGTGTCATTAATACGTATATGAAACTAAAAGGAAAATAATCTCGAAAATAACCAGTGAAACTGGAAATGACCACTTGCCAGTTGCCAAGCATTTGAATGGATTGGTGAGTGACTCATGTGCATATGTTGATTGCCTCGTTTTTGAAAGAAAAATATGCTGCACAAAAAAAAAAAAAAAGAAGAAAAATCACCAAAATGCCTCGCTTTCAACAAATTTTGTATTCTACGGACATCATCGAAGAGCATCGCAGGCTTTTGTTTAACTTCAGATGGACAGGAAAGAAACGTTTTAACGATTTGATATAACATTTTTAAGAATTTTTTTTGAATTATTCGTGAGCATATATATTCTTTTCAGTTTTTGATTAGTTGTGTAAACCCACTGTCAAAAGTTGTCTAAATTACTAGAGGATGCCATGGTTTCACTTCTATAATAAATGATATCTCGTTTTCAACATTCTTGGCTAATAGCCAAAGTCAAGCAACCAATTTATATTAACATGCTTGTATTAAGCAGCAGTGACTGATCGACCACATCAGGTTTCATTGTATTATATTCTACTGCCACTACTACGACTACTTGTATAATTAATAATGATTAGTTTTAATTACAAAGAAAAAAAAAGCGAGGAAAAATCTCAACACTTGAGGTAAATAATTAATTACTTACCATCAAAGTCTACTGTACCCGAGCCATCCGAATCGATTTCTTCGATCATTATATCCAATTCTTCATTCGTCAATTGATCGTCCAATTCTCTTAAGATTTCGCGTAAACATGAAGTGGGTATGTAACCGTTACCTTGCTTATCATATAAACGGAAGGCTTCACGCAATTCCTTTTGTAAAGCCTCGTCGTCTTCTTCGACAATGAATTTCGCAGCCAATTGAACGAATTCACCAAATTCCAAGCGACCAGATTTATCCTCGTCTACCTCTTCGATGAGTTCTTCTAAAATCTTTTTATCGAACGGTTGACCCATCAAACGTAAGATATCGGCCACCATATCAGTCGAGATACTGCCACATTTTTGATGATCAAAACTATTGAAGGCTTTCTGCAAAACGGCGATTTGCTCAGGCGTAAGATCTTCATCCTGGAAAATTGATGGCGAACCGTTTCAAAACACTTCTTATCGTATTCTTGTTCTTATTCTCTTTTTCACAAATTTCACTGCACTTACAATTTCTGGATCCATTCTAGTAGTATATCGTGTTTTTGTTTTTTCTTCTGCTTGCTATTATTTTCTACTTTTTTCAATTTCTATTGTATCACCAAGATGCTGGCTTGACGTTTCTTGCTCAACTAAATTTTCCTAAAGCATTTTCAATTCTAACGGAGACGATTTTTGTTTCTTTCTCGCCTTCTTACTCCCACTTTTTTGTGCACAAATTTTTCCATATATCACAGCAAGTAAATGTGTATAGAAAGATACGTTGCAACATACAAAACTTTACATATCGAAATATTTACATAAACAAATTTCTTGTGCGTACATTAAGCATTCACACACAGTAATGAACAGATTACCTTCGCATAACGCATCAGAGATTTGAAAGGAAAATAAGCAAATTTCGCTAAACAGAAAATTTTAAAGAAAAATTAGTCTTCTTTCCTTTATAAATACGTGTGGTTTAGGCCTGAAGTCAGACTAACCTTGTCCATTGAACCAATTATAAGCAAATCTCCACGACAGGTATGATTTTTTGACTTGAAATTCTTCATCGATTCAACCACGTTAGTCAGTTTGTATACTTCTTTGTTTTTCGAGATACTTCCCTTTTCTACTCATCCTACTTAAAAACTCGAGATTGTTTGGTTTAAAGTCCATCGATAAAGTTTAAAGGAAAAAAACATGTTCAAAAAAATAATATCCACTAGACGAAATGTTTCTCGATAATCCATATATTCTACATTGAAACATTCATGGGTACTTCATAATACGTACGCCTGTATATACATGCAGATATATATATATATATATTCATATTTTCGTCTATCCACGACAACATCCGATATTATAAACGTAACATGCTACGAAACCATAAACACCGTATCAAATAAGTCTAATATTATTTTACTTGTGCAGTTGAAAGCACACCATTTACACCAAGGGATCCCGATGCTAATGTGAATACGTCCCCCGACAAAAAATTTTTTTGGGATTTTTCCGCTCTACAATTTGCACGAACAGACGTCGTTGCAAGTTTAATATCTAATGTCCTTTAAGAAAGTATAGTAAGTTACATGTCAATTGTTCATATCATCGCTTAATTACGCCCGGTTTAACCTTTTCCTTTTAAATGAGAAACCCAAAAAAAAAAAAATTGTTGTTTGCAAATTTTTTCAAGGTCTAAGGAAAGCAAAGCCGAAGAATTTGACATAAAGTCTGCTGTTCTTAGCAAATTAATCAGTGCATAATCATCAGTTAACACATAGAAAAGGGACAGGTAGATAGATTGAGAGAACAAGTGTACAGATGGCACATGAGAAGAAGGACACATCGACAAATCAAAGAGTGCACAGAAGAACACGGACAGGGAAGGGCAACTGGACGCACAGGCCCAGGTGAAAAGCTGAGTTCCTGGATAGATGGCTAGTTGGAAAGCTGGCCGAGCACGAGCACCTACAGCAAATAAGGTACATAAACAATTCCTATTTACCTCAAATAAACCCATGTGTAATTATTGATTCCACCATTGCGTACTTTGATGCTTGCAACAATATCACATTCCACCTTTGGTGGGCATAAAAAGGAGCTAAATTTATCTTGCATGGTGGTCATCGATACATTCACAATGCAATACACAAGGAAAGTTCTTTTGCATGGCCGAATAGATAAGAATCGCGACTGGCAAGTCGGTGATCATGGAATTCAAATCTCATTGTGGTTTGACCATACTTGGTCGCTGATATAGCGAACAAGGCATAACATTTACCGACTGATCACAGTTCCACCAATTTGCAGCCACTATCTACCTCCTTTTCTGTCTCCATTCCTTTCGGATCATCAGCATGTGATTCGTATAAAGGACATCCTTGGTGACTGGTTATATTTAAAAATATATAAATTATTGAAGCTTTCGCAAGACGATGATGAACAAGTCGCTTGACATAAAATTCCAGAAATTAAATTCTTCTCAACAATTATTGGTTAAGTTGACTAAGGAAAAGACACAATCCAAAAAATAGCACTAATCATCCCTGATATGTGCAGAAAGCACAGTTTTCTTGTGTAGAGTATCTACAAAACCCGACTAAATTGAACAAAAAGAAAAGTAAGATAAACTAAATAAAAACCGCAACTTGTGGCAAACTTCAAAATGTCGAATTGCATTTCTTAGTAACCCAGAAAAAGACTAGATTTGTGACAAATGACTTTTATTCATTTACTAAATGTTCAATTCACTTGGGGTCCTTGAATACACTACACTAACTACACTGCTCCTTTTCTAGATGAATGAATTCCCGATTATTCTTGATCGTTTAACAACCGAAGACTTGCTACTCATACTACACCTAACACTACATATTATATTAACTCTAAAATCTTCCAAAGATTCATTAGAAACATCCTTTACCAGCACAACACTTTCATGTTCTTTATATATATATATATATACATGTATAGTTCAGTAATCAAAATTTTACATCATATTAACACAATGGATTGCATCTCATTTGTGTGGTAAACAAAATTTGTAGTTTTCGTTTCTTTTCGAGGGCTACATGTACGTACATATTAAGTTCCGCTAGCAACACGCAAGTTAATTAAGAGCATTTGCTTTAGCTTTATTCAAAAATGGAAAGCACCGCAACGAAATAATATAAAAATAAAAATTCAGAAAATGTTAATAATCATTGATGGAAAATCTCTGCCTGTTGGATTTCTCCATCAACGTATTGTAGTGGTTTGCTAAGCATTAAATTATATATAAAATGTATGTGAGTATGAGGGATGAAAGGAAAACTATGCGTATGGAGAAATAGATATTTGTGATGCGTGAGTGAATAAGTTCCCAAATACACTGAGCATTTCGTTTTATTTTTCTTCTTTAAGTTTGGTCAGCAAGAGATGGAGAAGATAGCGATTTAAAGAAATTCGATTATCTCTTCACAATATATGTATAAAATAAATAAAATGAACACAGGTTGCTTTTCGAAAATTATGTATCAAATGGTAACGTGACATCTGCGCCTTGCCTTCACACAATCATTCATAACAGTTATTCAGTAGGGTACTACTACAACAAAATATAGCGTAACATGTATTCTATTGTGTATCTGACACGATGTATTTGCTTACACTTTAGTATGAGAAAACGCATATATACCACTGTGTTCAAAAAATAGGGGGAATTGCTTTTTAAAACGAACACGCGTCTCAATTATCAATTTTTGTTTTCTTTTGCTAGATTAAACTGTCATTAAAAACCGACAGAAGCTTCATCGCATTCGATTGGTTAGTTTGGAATTTTGACCGTCTTCCCTAATTGTTAGCAAAGAATTGTCCGCGAACTTGATTCTTTTGATTTTGATATCCGTCTGATTGTTCAGTTGATATTCCAAGCGTTCAGTGAAAGGGTTCAGTGTTTAATCGACGACCGTTGTATATAAAATTCTTGATTTTATTGGTATTTCGATTAGGGATTGAAGTTGAGCGTTTTTCCGCACTCGATTTCAACAGCGTCTGTAATATGTTTCAAGTCCTTGTAGCACAATTTCATTATTAAAACCTTTTCTTAACATTTTCAATGTATCTGCATAAGTAAATTTATTTGCTAAACAGAATTAAATATTATTTCTTTTTCTTTCATATTGAAACTTTGTCAACACTCAGAAAAGTTGCCCTGATTTGTAAATTAATCAACCGAATCATATGGAACTTCCATCAGTGGTTTTCAACGTTCGTAACCATCTGGCAAACTAGCACAAGAAGTGCAGCCAAATAGGAAAAAGATCGCTACTAACAACTCAACGGTCACGAGTTGAAATCTCAAATACGGTAGGGTTTTCAATGCAGGCAAGCATATGATCTAAGTTATCCGGCAGTCTTTGAATCTATGGTTTGTAAATTTACAAATGCACAAAATATATAGACAAGAAATAAATATACGAAAAGTGCGTATACTTGGTATAGAAATTCCCCTAATTTTTGAACACAGTGCTATAAAACATAGTAATCACGTATGCAATGTAACCTTAGCCCAGCGATATAACCTAAAGACGAAGTATAGCAATTGGTATATAAACTGCTGCGAGAAGTCTGTTCTAAACCTAAAAAAGGCGCCTTATAATTAAGGCGACATTCGATATTCTTATGAAATTTGTTGTAATGCTAAGTTGCAAAGACAGTACACAATGTACAATACATTCCGCTAGACAAACTGATCGAACGTGTTTGTAAAACTTGTGAAGCCATTCATAATTACTAACGATTTCGTTTTCTTATTTTAGGTGATGGATGCTTAGTTATGATTGGCTTCCATGCAATTTAATTGTTTCACATCGGATTGTTTTCATTGCTTCTAAACATAATGTTTAGAGTGCACTAACTGAAGTGAGATGAAAGAAACCCATTAGTTCGTAAACATGTGCGCGATTAATGGGATTAAAGTTTAGCCCAAATTTTTTTTAACTTAGCATTGTGGGGATGTAGATTTAATAGTTGTCTTAGGAGAATTATTACACTCTCACTCGTGTGTTTAATACTTTTTGTGCATGTGCTTCTATGAAAAAATAATGAAATAAAAAAATGCTGTGAATGCATTTTTTCATTTCCATGATTTTAATTTTTTGTAAGTGAAGAATGGCAAACTAATATATTTTAGATAGGAGTATAATAATAAACAATTAAAAACACAACAAAGGGTAACGGCCTGCCATTAAATACCCTACAGCAACCTAGAGTTAGTTATATAATGACTTTTCCAAAAAAACGCTACATGAAAAGCGGTCGAAAAAGTGGACCTGTCCGAACCATTTTCAATAGCGATCGTCTTCGAACCAAAACATGTCAGGGTACCAAACTTTATCAAAATATCTCAAAAATTGCGAATTGTTAGTTTAACATGGGAAAAGGAGAGAGACAGACGGACTGAGATGCAGAACCACTTTCTGAATCGAGCGGTGTAATAAAAGGTGGGTATATTTGAAAGTCTTCTGGAAGTTATGCAAGTAGTGTAGGGTAAAAAAATTCGAAACGATATTAGTTTTATAGAACTTTTCAAAAATTTTCCTCTTTGTCGTATGTTCTTCGCAGTTCTTTCGAAAGGCAGAAAATATCTTTATTCATATTGGAATC